TGCACTTTCATTGGAAACATTTAACTTAAACCTTTTAAATGAGGTCACCGCTGTGTTTGGAGTAGCATTATGATAAGCAGGCATGGCCAGTGGACAGCTACTCTCCTGAACCCTTCAAAAACTCACTAGTATTAGTTTTTCATCCTCCTTGCTGTCTGGAGTTAGTTTATGTAATTACAGGCCACTTTTACAGGCCGCTTGTCTTGATCCAAACAGCTCTGTGGCTCTTCTGAGAGGAGAGGACACTGATCTCATTTAACTTTACTTACTTCCCATGTCTCCTGATAACAGAGCGTTGTAATCCACAAGCTTTTTACGTCATCCTTGCAAGAGAGTCTCCACATGAAAAGCGGTGCTTTAAGCTAAATCGATACACTGTTTCCTCTCCTCTAAACTTCATTAAGCATAGACATTGCAGTATTCTCAGCCCAGGTGTCCAGCACCCAGAGAGAAGAGAACTGATTGTAAGAACTGGGAGGATACAGTGCAGGACAAGCATTTGACTATGGCTCTCATTAATGTCTGCTATCTAAAAGAGAAATGCACGGCATTACAAGAAATTATTCTGTTGTAGCTAATGAGAAAAAAGAAAGTTCACACAGAGACGCCCACCTTCTCTGACACATAGTTAACATTTATTTGATAGCGTCGGCAAGGTTCTTTGCGATGTATCCCTCCTCCTTAGCTTGAAGTTATATAACCACAGTATTGTCCTGACATTTCTCCTCATCGGGCGAGTGAAACAACGGCGCTGCCTCGTGATTCGCTCCAATGCACGCTCGGCGAACGGTTGTATCTCTGTTTGCTTCGGTTACACCAGTGAGTCAGCAGCAGAATCCCACGTCTCACCAACTGCTTGGAAGGGAAAACACGAGGAGCCACTCAGAAACGTCCAAGCATGAAGGGCCTGTGCGCAGTGTAGTGGTGTCACTGCGTGTTCGAGCACTATTTATTGCTTCACAGACCCTCTGATAGTTTTTATTGTTCTCTCTCTCTGTGCCTTGTGAGTGGGAGTGAGGGTATCTTAGCCAAAACTACAGATTTTTTTCTTCTTTGCAGATCCATAAGTATTTGGACAGTGACATAATTTGAGGTATTTTGCCTGCGTATGTCAGTACATCCATCCTTTTATTTAAATTATTCAGGTCCAGCTCTCTCTTTTTCCTCCTCATGAGCTCCTGCTGGTTGGACATTTCCAAAACCTTACCTGGGAAGTGTCCAGGAGACGCATCCTAGTTAGATTCGCAGACCACCTAAGCTTTTGATGCAGTGGCGCAGCAGCTTTGTACTCCCTAATGGCTAAGGACCTCATCCTCGCCCTACAAATGAGCTCAGACGCCCACCTCATGAGGAAGCTCAGAGGTGAGGGTAGGAACAGAGATTGACTTGTAAATTGACGGCTTTACCTTCACAATCAGAGTTCTGTTTACCATATCAAGCCAGTTAATTACTTGTACCACCGCAGGAGCTGCACAGGTTCATCTGTTTTCCTCCTGCTCCACTTCTCCTGCGTATGAAAATGACCCTGAGATGCTTGAGCTTTTCCCTTTGAGACAGCAACTTATCTCCAACCTGGAGTAGGGGTCCACCCCTTTCCAGCAGACAACGACTTCAGACTTGAAAGTGCTCATTTTCCAACCTAGCTGTTGTTTGATGTTCTGTAAAGTGCTCCACAAAAAGCAAAGAACTCCACCGATTTTAATGCAGTTTTAAACATAAGAATTCTTCGAATACTCGGATGCAGTCTTATACAGTCAGTAACCACGGACATCTTCAAATGCTGATTTTTCTACCTTAAGATGCTCTGCCAGGCTTTCACTGCAGCGCCATCAGTTGTTGCTCGTTTGTGGGTCTTGCTGCTGTTCAGCCATCTGTGCTATGAATCACTGTCCCACAAGTTTTTCAGCATTTGGCTAAATCTCAGCAGAGTAAAGCCGTTTACTCTTCAGCATTCCTCCTGCTACTTCTATCAGCGTTCACGTCCTCAGTAAACTTCTATTCCATTGGCAGCCGAACATGCTCGTGGATCACACTGCTTCTGCCATGTTTCACAGATGATGTGGCATGCTTTGGATCTTCTACAAGTTGATCTTGTAGAAGATCCAAAGGAAAAAATGTTCCAAAACTGGGGAGGAATGCACCAAATACTTCAGATTGATTTGGACACTGCTAAAGTTTCTGCTACTGCTAATATTTCTGTGTGGCTGTAAATCTATTAACAATCATGGAACATTTTTCCATGAAGCTGAAAGTCTACATTTCTGCCACAACTTGATTATTTCATTTGAATCCATTGTGGTGCTGTACCTGAGCAAAACTGAAATTTTTTTTACTGTGCATAGAATTTGGGACCTTAATAAAGCTATTATTTAATATCATTTATAATATTTTCAAGTAAATTGTGGATTTGTGATTGTGTGTGTGCCTAAAACACCTTTAAAACAACCTCAAGGTAGTTTTATTGCATCTCGCTGTGATTTATTCATAATTTGACATCCAGAAAAAATGACGAAAATATCAGATAATTAATCCAGAATTAATATTCATATCAATCTGTACGAAAGAAAGAAATATCTAATACAGCTCTACAGTATATAAATCCCGTTAGACTTCTCGTCTCACAGGTGTAGGAAGAAAAAGTTTTGAGGCATCTGTGAGCAGTTGTTGCTTTGAAACCACTTTCTACCTAAGATTTTAGTCCCTGTTGGAACTAGAAAACTGATCTTACTGTTTCTGTGCTTCTTGTGAATTGTTTAAATATTCTTCTGCTTTGAAATCTATCCAGGTGGAAATGTGTATCTCAGAGAAAAAAAAATTCAAATTTGAGTGTTAAATTCAAATTTCAAGTGCATTTGTCAAAGGAAAATATAGGCTATAGCTATACATGTTTATGAAGCATCCATTACCTTTTATACAAAGACTAAGTAATGATCTACTTCAGTGGTTCTCAGTTTTTTATCTGGTATAACACAACAGATACCTCACATGGATGAAGTACTCTTCATCCATAACAATCATACTTGTTATTAACCTCTGTCTCTTTTTCACAGCATGTCTTTATCCCGTCTTCCTTCTCTCACCCCAACCGGTCGCAGCAGATGGCCCCGCCCCTCCCTGAGCCTGGTTCTGCCAGAGGTTTCTTCCTGTTAAAAGGGAGTTTTTCCTTCCCACTGTCACCAAAGTGCTTGCTCATAGGGGGTCATATGACTCTTTATGTATTATTGTATGGTCTACCTTAAAATATAAAGTTCCTTGAAACGACTGTTGTTGTCATTTGGCGCTGCATAAATAAAGTTGAATTGAATTGAATTGAATCTTGCCAAAAAATGAATATTCATGTAATTTTGTTAGGGTTAGAGGTCCAGTGTTGAGGCATTTTTATTGAGCTCTGGGTTTTACCATTTACCCATTCTTCTCAGCTTTTGGGGGAGTTTAGTGAATTCATTTTAACTATTTTAATATATAAAATACTTACCAAGGTATTAAAGCTGTTATAATTTTACTCATATAGCTAAGCTGTTTTTACCATTACTTTATATATATGCAATTATTCATGTTTCTCAGATCAGTTTATATTAGTTGAATGAATCTTTATATGGCTGCTGTAAAACAATACTTGTTCCTGTGTTTGGGAATGGTTGCTGATCTGTAACATAGCTGTAATCCTTATTACTGTTGGCAGTCATACACAAATGATTCCCTGGCAGGTTTAAAACTATAATCGAAGGCTTAATGACATGTGAAGCTTGGTAACGTCGATCGTAGTTTAATTAAGATGTTTTTAGCTCATTACTGTATTTCTGACTGTGTTTATTCAGCTGTGTCTCATGGCTTTCATTTAGTGGACTCAGTTGTGAGGAACTGACATAAGTACACATAAATGCATATAATTTACATAAAAATGTACATTTATAAATATAGTCATATAGTTATTTAAAACTCATATAACCATGAAGGCGCACAGTTTCTAATTCAGCAGAATTATTTTGTATCTTTGGCTGTGTTTACACGCAATTTAGAGATAGTATATAAAATATATATGTATGTGAATAAAACTATATAGTTGCGCGTTATGATCTGCAACTCATTTCATCAAGGAAACTTGGTCAGCATCATAAACTGCATATAAACGATGGCAATAATTGAGCACTTATTGTTTAGTGAAGTCCCCTTTGTGTCATAGCGATCTTAGTGTTTTGAAACTAGATGTGACCGAGGGACAAAGCAGGCTCATTAGCTAACAACCTGAGACTGATAAGCTGTTAGCCAATGAGCTGTCAGCCTGATCAGTACTCCTCTTCTTCTTTAGGGGTTGCCACAGCAAATCATCTGCCTCCATTTCACGCTATATCTAGCATTTTCAAAATAAGCTTCCTGTTCTATTCAGTATGACTTGAAAGTAGCATCTGAGCACATAAGCTTGTCAGAAAAGTGTTCACTGATCACAGGTCAGTGGAACCTAAGGCCATTTTCCCCTCTATACTGCTGGACACCTTACAGCAACCAGAAGAGTTGCCCTCTGCTGGCCATTTTAAATTATTGAGGTTTCTTGTGTTTGTTTTGGTTTGGTTTGAGGTCTCTTTCCATCCATCCTTACCCTTTACTAACGGCTCGTCTAACTGGGGTTAGAGAAAATCCAGGTACACAGGTATAGGGAGTCAGCCAGTCATGCAGAAGGCTGCCCCTCCATGAGCCAGGTTCTGTCAGAGGTTGTTGTTCTTCCTCAATATTTACCGTGTAAATATGAAGCTCTTTGAGATGACTGTGTTGAATTGGCACTTTATACTGAACTGGAATTAAAATGTTTCAAAAGCTACAGATTGCATGGCTGCCTCCAAAGACTTCATATTAGATGATGAAGGGCAAATGTGGAGTAACAAACTATAAGTCAGGCTAAAGATGTTTAGAAATAATATTAGTTACAACTTTACAATACTTTACTTGATGGTGGTAACTTTGCTTCAGGCTGTCTCCTTCGTCTCTGTCTCCTCATCTTTCAGGACGGAGCTTCGCTGAACTTGAGTTTCATCCCATTGGACATCAAGCTAACCAACTGGGATGACCTGCCCGAGGCCTTCAGCCGGCGCAGGGAAAATCGAATACAGGTCTGCCCTTCCCGCCGGGCTGAGTCTGGATATGTGCGCGTCTCTTGCGTGCGCTTTGATATTCATGAATGTGTGTGGGTGTGTACGTGGACTGGGGCATTCACACCAGGGAGATGTACCTACTTAATTTGTCGTTACTGTTAAAACACTTTAGAGGCAAATTACACTAAAGTTGACTTCTAGGTTATAAGATGTGCCACTGTTTGCTTCTTGTGATTTATTGCAAAGACAAAAAAATGGAGCCATGAGAAGAATTTAAGATGATGGAAAAGTCTGCATATGCTAGAGTGTGGAGCTAAAAGTTTTTCACTTAGTGTGCCCATAGGCTGCGTTAAGGATGACCTTAATTTTAGACTAAGATAATTTAGTTTCATATCTCACCAGTGGAGCTATCGCTTCAATTCCACTGACCCAGTGAAGATGAGACATGAGGCAGTACGGAGGTTATTAAACCTAATGGATGTGTGTGTGTCACTGGCATGTGAAACTAATGACACCTCTGATCATGAGCAGGAAGAGCAGCAGCGCACCATTGGGCCCCTGACAGATAGGTGGAGTATGGACGCCCACGTTTCACTACTGCAGGGCCTGACGAAGGAGAGCAGGAGAGGGAGGAGGACGAGGAAGTGGAGGTGGCGGACGATGGAGATAGGACAAAAGAGGGGGGGTGGCTTGGGGGTTTGGGCTGCCGAGGAGACGGGCAAAAGAAAGTGTGCAGTTTTATGAGGGTTGTTAAAGGAGACAGATCATCGCCTCAAACGACCCAAAGCACCAACCAGCTAATATTAAATCCTGCAATCTGCCGTGTCGGTACCAGCTACTGACAGAAGCCCCGCCTGTCACGTTGTTTATGTTGCTTTGTTAAACCGAGGCGTGAGTTGCAGCCATCCTCCAACCCATCATTTATGCCCCGTTACACTCCAATTGTCCATCACAATCAATACTTAGCAAGCGGTTTAATGCGGGATGTGAAACGTCTTGGATGGGGAAGCAGTGGTGTGTAAACACTCCTACAGCCAGAACAACAACACTGGCAAATGAATCAAACCATCTTTGAGATGAATGGTCAGTAATTACACAATATGTATTAGAATAATCTGTATTTTATGAAAACTGGATAATGTTTCTGTGAAGATAATCATTAATTGAGGTTAAAATACAGTTTAGTGAAGAGAACACAACCCAAATAGTTTTCAACAAAAACCGTTTTAACGTCTTTGCTTTTATATTCTTACTAAAGCTACTCGGTCCTTATTTACATTAAGCGAGAAGTTGCACCTGTAGTGTAGTTGGCTTTGGTGCCGAGGCTCAGGTCATTGTTTGTCTGAAATAAGCCAAAATAGCTACCAGACCCCTTTAAATTAACATTTTTGTGATTAGCTGGCCCTGCCAAACAGAAGGTTTTAACAGATGGTGTTCTCACACTTTGAGCTCTGTAGTTACAACTTCAGTCAGTCAGGCCTAGAGACTGGTAAATGGTCGCCTGGAAAACGTGTATTATCAAACTGTTTGGCAAGAGGTCGCAGGAAATTACTTGCAGTTGATTGGTGTAATAAGTCACAATAATAATAATAAGTCTGGATGTGGTGCTGCATCCAGAATTTTCTAGCTATTTCTTTGGTCACTAGCAGTTTACCACAGTTGCACACTCACTTAAACTAATTGCAAAGTGGTTGTGAAACTGTTAAAAGTCCAAAACAAACTGGAAAAGGAGAATGTTTGCTTCAAAATAAAGTAAGGAACAACAATAAGAAGAGACTGGTAAAAATGGCATCCATGGAAGAGTTCGAAGGTGAAAAACAAAAAGATCAAAACGATTAAAATGGCCCACCTCACTGTTACCAAAACACATCTTGATGATCCCGAGACTTTTGGGAAAATAATCTGTGGACTGACGAGACAAAAAATTCATATAAAGAACATCAAAGCAAGGGTCAAACATGGTGGTGGTAGTGTGATGGTCTGGGCCTGTTTAGATGCTTCAGGATGTGAACTACTTCTGTTAATTGATTCAACCATCCATCAATCTTCTTCCGCTTATCCGGGGCCGGGTCGCGGGGGCAGCAGCCTAAGGAGACAAGCCAAGTCCTCCCTCTCCCCAGCCACCTCCTACAGCTTGTCCGGGGAAACACCAAGGCGTTCCCAGGCCAGCCAAGAGATATAATCTCTCCAGCATGTCCTGGGTCTATCCCGCGGTCTTCTCCCAGTGGGACATGCCTGGAACATCTCGCCCAGGAGGCATCCTTGTCACATGCCTGAACCACCTCAACTGGCTCCTTTTGACATGGAGGAGCAGTGGCTCTACTCTGAGCACCCCCCCCCCCGGGGTGGCTGAACTTCTCACCCTATCTCTAAGGGAGAGGTCAGCCAAATGAGGAAGCTCATTTCTGCCACTTGTATCCGCAGTCTAGCTCTTTTGGTCACTACCCACAGCTCGTGACCACAGGTGAGGGTAGGGACGTAGGTCGATCGGTGCATTGAGAGCTTAGCTTTTACACTCAGCTCTCTCTTCACCATGACAGACCGGTACAGTGTCTGAATCACTGCAGCCGCAGTACCAATCCGCTCCCTTCTCCCCTCACTTGTGAACAACACCTCGAGATGCATGAACTCTTCCACTTATGGCAGGAGCTCGTCCCTGACCTGGAGTGAGCACTCCACCCTTTTCCCGGCAGAAATGAGATTCTGAGACCAACCAGGTGAAAGCCTTCCGCCACTTGGCTACACCTAAAAATTATCTCCATAAAATTATAAACAGAATCGGTGACAAAGGGCAGCCATACCAGAGCTCATCACCCACCATGAATGAGTCCAACTATGCAGACCAAGCTCTTGCAACAGTTGTATAAGGATCGAATGGCCTGTAGCAATGAGCCGAACACCCCATACTCCCGGAGCACCTCCCACAGGACACTCCGCGGGACACGGTCGTATGCTTCTCCAAATCCACAAAACAGATGTAGACTAGGTGGGCAAACTCCCATGCACCCTCAAGTATCCTTGAGAGTGCATTGATCTGTTAATTGATGCAATCATTAATTCTGCTCTCTACCAGAAAATTATGAAGGAAAATGTCCAGCCATCAGTTTGTGCCCTGAAGCTCAAGCACACTCAGGTTTTCCAGCAGGACAATGATCCAAAACACACCAACAATTCCACCTCTGAATGGCCAAACAAACCCCCGAGATGAAGGTTTTGGAGTGGCCTAATCAAAGTCCAGACTTAATCCAGTGAAGGTGCTTTGGCATAACCTTAAACAGGATGTTCATACTAAAAAACACTTGCCTTTACAAAGATTGAGCTCCACAAACTCCACAGTGAAACTTATTGCCAATTATTGCTTGCTATTAACGCTTGCTATTAATTGAATTTGTCTTTGTTGAAATTTGTTGGATGATCTGAAACATGTAAGTGTGACAAATATGGGAAAAAACAAAGAAATCAGGAAGAAGGAAAATAGTTTTTCATGACATTGTATATGGCAAAGCCTTTATTTACATATGTACCATGAAGGCATCATAGCGATAGGAAGAAAAAGGGCATGTGTTGAATGAAGGTGTGGGAGGTTGTTGCTGTTACTGAGCAAGTGCAGTGGCTTGCAAAAGTATTAGCCCCCTTGAACTTTCCCACATTTTGTCACATTACTTCCACAAACATGAATCAATGTTATTGGAATTCCACGTGAAAGACCAATACAAAGTGGTGTACACGTGAGAAGTGGAACGAAAATCATACATGATTCCAAACATTTTTTACAAATAAATAAATAAGTGGGATGTGCGTAATTATTCAGCCCCCTGAGTCAATACTTTGTAGAACCACCTTTTGCTGCAATGACAGCTGCCAGTCTTTCAGGGTATGTCTCTACCAGCTTTGCACATCTACAGACTGAAATCTTTGCCCATTCTTCTTTGCAAAACAGCTCCAGCTCAGTCAGATTAGATGGACAGCATTTGTGAAGAGCAGTTTTCAGATCTTGCCACAGATTCTTGATTGGATTTAGATCAGGACTTTGACTGGGCCATTCTAACACATGGATATGTTTTGTTTTGAACCATTCCATTGTTGGCCTGGCTTTATGTTTAGGGTCGTTGTCCTGCTGGAAGGTGAACCTCCGCCCCAGTCTCAAGTCTTTTGCAGACTCCAAGAGGTTTTCTTCCAAGACTGCCCTGTATTTGGCTTCATCCATCTTCCCATCAACTCTGACCAGCTTCCCTGTCCCTGCTGAAGAGAAGCGGAGCATGATGCTGCCACCACCATATGTGACAGTGGGGATGGTGTGTTCAGAGTGATGTGCAGTGTTAGTTTTCCGCCACACATAGCGTTTTGCATTTTGGTCTCATCTGACCAGAGCACCTTCTTCCACATGTTTGCTGTGTCCCCCACATGGCTTGTGTCAAACTGCAAACAGGACTTTTTAATGGTTTTCTGTTAACAGTGGCTTTCTTCTTGCCACTCTTCCATAAAGGCCAACTTTGTGCAGTGCACGACTAATAGTTGTCCTATGGACAGATTCCCCCACCTGAGCTGTAGATCTCTGCAGCTCGTCCAGAGTCACCATGGGCCTCTTGGCTGCATTTCTGATCAGCCTTGTTCGGCCTGTGAGTTTAGGTGGACGGCCTTTTCTTGGTAGGTTCACAGTTGTGCCATACTCCTTCCATTTCTGAATGATCGCTTGAACAGAGCTCCGTGGGATGTTCAAGGCTTGGGAAATCTTTTCGTAGCCTAAGCCTGCTTTAAATTTCTCAATAACTTTATCCCTGACCTGTCTGGTGTGTTCTTTGGACTTCATGGTGTTGTTGCTCCCAATATTCTCTTAGACAACCTCTGAGGCCGTCACAGAGCAGCTGTATTTGTACTGACATTAGATTACACACAGGTGCACTCTATTTAGTCATTAGCACTCATCAGGCAATGTCTATGGGCAACTGACTGCACTCAGACCAAAGGGGGCTGAATAATTACACACACCCCACTTTGCAGTTATTTATTTGTAAAAAAATGTTTGGAATCATGTCTGATTTTCGTTCCACTTCTCACGTGTACACCACTTTGTGTTGGTCTTTCACATGGAATTACAATAACATTGATTCATGTTTGTGGCTGTAATGTGACAAAATGTGGGAAAGTTCAAGGGGGCCGAATACTTTTGCAAGCCACTGTATATCCCTGATGTCTCTGGAGGCGAAACCAGGCTCCAGTGCATAAAAGATTAACTTATTCGAAGGAAGTCTGCCTATTGGATATAATGAAGGTCGCCAGGACGCTGCTCCGGATAGTTCCAGCCCACTTGAGCCCCTGCACTTGCATTTTATAAACATTATAATGTGACACACGAGTGAAATTGTAGTGCAAAGTGAGAGACGAAAAAGTCTCATTGTGGAGAGGTTTGTGTTTATCTTTGGCAACTAGAAGCACATAAACTTTTGATGTTTGTTCTATTTTTTGAACCTATAAGTTTTTTTTCCTATTTTCTGTTTTAGTGAAGTAAGAAACTCAAGGAGGACAGAGCACATTGTGTATGTCAGTCTGGTCTGTGACATTTAGATATGTGTTCTGTTAAAGTAATAAACAGGTGTTACAAATGTCCCAGTAACCTGGCTGTAACCATGATACAGTTTAGATAGAATTTTACATATTAATTCCTCATTTGTATAAACACCAATATGAAGGTTTCCTAAAAAGACAAAAACCACTGGGACCAATGATTTTGTTTTGTTTTTAGCCTTTGGAGTATCATTTACCACCAAGAAAAAAGTAAAACTTAAAGGATAAAAGTATCATTATCATACATCTTTGTCCAGATACACAGTGAAAATCAAAGCACCCTCTGTTTCCACCCACACGTCTCACCTATTAACCTGTCTGACCTTCGGCCAATCTGCAAGCTGGAAGGAGCATCCCACTCTCCTCCTTAGTTTCAACTTTTGACATCTGATTCAACTTTTTGGCTCTCATCTAACCTCTGATGGCCTGGCAGCACAATTACTATTTCAGATTTTCACTAAGCTTACCCACAGTCTTCATCTCTACTTTCCTCCTGTCAGGAGGAAGACTGTCTCGCTGTAGAGGAGGGTTTCGGTGCTCTACCGGCACATGACGTTCGGCTTGATGCTGTGATTTGAGTTCCTAATGACAGAGTACTACTTGCCTTCAGTCTCAAGGATGTTATGGGCGATAATAATTTAGTATCGTTTGTGGTTTTAAATGCCGTTGTTCTGGTTTTGTGAAAATATGTGCAAAATAAGTCGCAGTAGATGGCGGCCCCTCGCTGACTCTGGTACTGTCTGTTCCTGATAAAAGCAGAGATGCTTTTATGCTCCTCACATACGAGGTCTTGAATAATCTGGCCCCATTTGATCTTAATGACATTATAGCACTGCATCACCCCATTAGAGCGCTGTGCTCTCAGACTGCTGGCTTACCTGTGGTTCCTCGAGTATTTCAAAGTAGAATGGGAGGCAGATGCTTGAGCTTTCAGGCGCCTCTTCTGTGGAACCAGCTTCCAGTTTGGATTCGAGAGACAGACACTATCTCTACTTTTAAGATTAGGCTTAAAAATGTCCTTTTTTAAAGCCTATATTTAGGATTGGATCAGGTGACCTTGAATCCGTAGTTTCTTCCTTTTAAAAGGGGGTTTTCCTTCCCACTGTCACCAAAGTGCTAGCTCACAGGATGTTTGTTGATTGTTGGGGTTTTCTCTGTTTTCTTTGTATTGTTGTTGGGTCTTTTTACAATATAAAGCACTTTGAGGCAACTCTTCTTGAGATTTGGCCAAATAAAAATAAAATTGAATTAAATACATGCTCTAATTGACAAGCCAGCAGTTTCCAGCATACTTGACAAGGGACCGGCCGGTTAATGTCACATAGCTCATTGCTGTTATCAGATAGTTGTGCGCACACTCAGAGGCAAACGCTTACGTTGCAAATGCTAATGCTAATGTTGTTAGACATTTGCATTAGCATACACATTAGACAGACCTAATCAGGCAGTTAAACCCCCCTTACACAGCTAAACGTGGACATATAAAGTGTGACAATTCATTTTATTATAAAAATAGAATTTAATATTGAAGAAAAAGTTATTTTTTGGTTTGTATATGCTGTCAATTCTAGTTCTGGAAACTGGAATCAGCAAAAATCTGTATGGGCTATCAGAATCAATCCAAGAAAATTGCAATCAGTCCTCTTTTTTTTTTTTTTTTTTTTTTTTTTGCCTGTCCCGTTTGGCTCTTTTGCCATCAGAATTGTTGTCTAAAGGCAAAGAAAGATGCCCAACGGATTTACTTTACCAAATTGACCATCCCAGCCTTGCCGTAATGGTCCATTTGATTCACCTTTTATTGTTTATTTTATTTTCGCTTACTGAATACGGGACAGACTTGACTGGGGGAAAGAAGGGGAGAAAGAAAGAGGGAAAGAGAAACAGCTGAGAAGAGGGACGGGGGAGAAGGGCAAAAAACAAAAACCAACAGAACGGGCAGAAAAAAAAATGCATATATCAATCACCTGGATCACCTGCTGAGAAAGAAAAAAGAAAACAAGCAGAAGAGAACAAGAGTAATAGAATAAACAACATCACAATGATATATGGGAATATGACAGTGAATACTAAATATTAAACATTATTGTGCAGCACATAAGATCAACAGAACACAGTGTGCTTTGAGGTAGGAGCCAAAAAGGGTGTAGTTTGTGGGTGTGATCACCCGTGTGTACACCTGTGAGCATGGACGCGCTTGTTTTTTTAAAAGGTTCCTTCATGTAATAATCTGCTAGAGGGTGTGGGGGGCCACAGCCCTGTCCTCCAGGGCATGAAGCAGGTATGGAGGAGATCAAAACTCCAGACATCCAGAGGCCCCCAGAACACAAGAGACCAAGGAAGACTAACAGAGGGGCAGCCGCGCCACTGTCCCAGAAAGAGCTGAGGAGAGTCCCAGATGAGGGCTCACTCAGCAGCCACGGAGCAGAAGCCAGGGGGAGTTGCAGTGACGCGCCCGTGAGCTCCGCCGGCAGTCAGCCGTGCCTGAGTGACCGAGCCCCAGGCCGAGAGGCCGGGGGCACCCCACCTCCGAAGTGGCCCGAGCGAGCCCCAGGCTCCAGGCCCCGATAAGCGGCCGCCAAGGAGTGAGCTGGTGTGTACCTGGACGCCCATCCCCGGACACAAAGAACCACCAACGCACCGATGTCTGAGGGAGTCCGCCACTGGCAGGGGAAGTGGTGGTGGGTGGAGATAGGCCTCCAAACCTTGGAGGGCCTGAGATGTCCCCAGAGAGGTGACGCCTGACACCCAACCTGACATATAGACACAGAAATACAGGCACACACAGACACAAACATCCATTCCCACCCTCATGCTCTCATATGCACTTACTCCACACTCAACCAACGTGGAGACAGACATAAAGAGACGCTGTACACACGATCACACTCCCCAAGTGTACTCTACGAAACAGGTCTAGGTACCCTTGCCCCTGGAGGGGGAACTGCACCCAGACCCAGGTGGTATTACCCTTTTCCCTGCGGTGGGGAGAGGCAGACCGCCCCGACTCCGCAGCAGCAGGGAGGCCCCACACTCCAGACCGCAGTCGGACGGCCAACTCCTCCTCCTAGCCCCCCTGCTCCAGCAGGCCGCAGAGAATGGGGGATATTAGTGTGTTATATAAATATCACATGTATTATATATAGATAGCTGTCATGATACATGTTGTACATATGTTATATAATAAATATTTTAAAATATATACTTATTAACGTTATTTTAACGAGTTCATCTTTACATCCAGACGTCAAGCATTTGTTTCTGTTGAATACTTTCATTTAACATTAAACATTTAATGAGTAGTACGTACTAATTCCTTCAAAATATACCTGCGCAAAGATCAACAAAGACAGCTTTCATGCTGTGATAGCTTGAAACCTGTCTGCATATAACATATAAAGACTTTTATCTTGACCCAAGTCTTTTTTGTGACGGTAAATATCATCCATAGCAAAGACAGGGAAAAAAACCCTTTCAAGTGTAATATACGTAGGTAAATTGTCCATTAAGGCTCGGTGTCTGGTGAGCTATTTGTTATATTGTTGGTAGATTTCCTTCGAATCCTGCCTTCGCTGGAAGAATATTCAGCCCTCTTTTGGTTTAATGGGTTTTGTTCAGCTATCTGGAAAACTGTCTCCTTTGAATTGTTTGTTTTTGGCTGAAGTGCATTTTCAAAATTGAAAAGCTAAAAAAATGTTTTGCTTTTAAAGAGGTTTCACTGTCCAAACTATCAATTTGTGTTGAAAATGAAGACTCCGGCGGCTGCAGTTGCGGCTTGAAATTGAATATGAAGTGAGGTGTCGTGTCGCCCCGCAGGTGCTGAGCTTTGTTATGGAGTGGAGCGGCCTGCCAGCCATGAAGCAGAAACTGCTTCGACGCAGCGGTCTTCTCTTCCACAGCCCTACCCTGGGCTTGCAGCAGCTGTCCGCCGCCCAGCGCCCTCACTCGAGCACCAAGAGGTCAGATTTTTTCCTTGAAGGAGACGTGCTTTGACTTTCACCAAACCTCTCTTCTAATCAGTGAATTTTCAGTCACTGAAATGAACGTTAAGTGGTTTGTATTGAGTTTTAACCTTTTCCAAACCGCCCAAAAAACAAGTTTGTTTTTCTGCTTTAACCGCTAATGTTATATGGATGTAGTTTGTGAAGCCAGTTTGGAAATACCTTAAACCCAGATTATTTCTAGTGGCCCACAGGATGTGACTCCTCTGATTGTAAAAACTGTTGTATTCAAGTCTGTCAGTAAACATTTGCCTAATGAGTGCATGCTCTCACTCATTAGTTTTGGGTTTTTACAAGGTGTTCTTTAAAATTATGTTCCTTTTTTGAGGCAAAGCAGAAGATAAAGCTGGAAGTCTTCGCCTAAAGAGTGTCCCTCAGTTTCTCAGTCATCGCGTCCTGCTTCATGTTGGCTACATCGGGTTTTTTAGGTGTTTTTTTTTCTTCTAATATACAGTCTGCAGGTCATGATTTGTGTGGTTTTAGGCTACGTTCCAAAAAGATGCAAACACAGTACTATAAAAACACGGGGAGGCTCTATAAGTAAAAACAAAATGCAATTCTTTGCAATAGGGCTGAACGATTATGGAAAATAATCTAATTGCGATTTTTTGCCCCAATATTGCGATTGCGATGCGATATGCGATTATTTTTTAAGGTCTTTGTCTTCTGTATTATTAAACAAAGACAAGCAATACATCATATAGTATGGCCAATACTATATTACATTAATTTTAAACTGTTCTTTCCTGGAAGACAGACCTCTGTTATGATGACATGAGGTGATGCATGAATTGATGACTGACATTTTTATTTAACTTCTTCAATCACAACAGTATATTTGAACATACACAATAGTTTATTTTTAGCTTACAAACATCTGAGCATAAAGTGCTGACAAGGAACCCTGGTGTAAACATTAAAATGAAAGTCAGTACAATGTGCAGATTGCAGAAATATACATAAAAAAAAATCAGTGGCTTTACCACACTCAGTTTTTCGACATCTGTGAACTACTACAGTCATTCAATTAAAAAATAATATTAAATAAATAAAACTAATAAATAAAAAATACACACATCCTACTGATCTTTGCAGTCAGTAACATTACACATAAAGTGCAAACATAATAGCAATTGTATAAACACACACACAAACACGCCTTTAAAATTTAAAGGCGTGAAATTGGACGGTCTAGCCTTCTGATCTGCGTCACCGCTGTCTCGGTGGAGTTTAATAAACTCGGCCGTCTGCTTCTTGCTATCTAAAATATAACCAGACACTGGTGTAAATTCTCGACTGTCTCATACTTCTGTTTAATAAGTTTTCTGTTTGACGTTTAGTCAGCTGTGTGAAAACCAAGGAGGAACCCACCCGGGGGATTAATAAAGTTTTATTTTATCTAATCTAATAACTTTAATCTCAGCCAAACCGATTTACTCACGAACAAACAAAACACTGAAAAAAGCCCAACAATAACATTTTTAGGTTGTCTAAGTGACTTATATATTACGTTTAACCCGAGCAGCGAAACTCCGCGGTGATCTGAAAATGATGTGCCGGGAGTTGTGCCGTTCTCGGCCGCATCAGTAACCCTCGAGCTCCCGGCTAGCTGTCGAGCTGGTGGGTAGCAGACGCCTCTGAAAACGTCGAAGCACTTTTGCAAATATGGGATATCTTGATAAACCGAGCAGATATTTGATGTTTACACAACTACTTTCTCGCCTGAAAATATGTTAAAAGTTTATTTTGTGACCCAGAAAGATTAGTATGAGTAATTTTAAAACTTAGTAGCGGCCGCCATTGCTGGAAACTGGAGTTTGGCTGGGCCGCGCTATGAATTCTGGGATATGGTAGTAATTTGGACAGCCTTCGGCGCGTCGCTGTGACGTAATCGGTCTACAAATGCGGCCTCAGGAGGATGCAGCCCATGAATTTGGACATGTCCAGAGTATAATCGCAGCCTTTGCGGTTAGAAAATTGCACTTGATCATGTCGCGATATTATCGCAAATGCGATATATCGTTCAGCCCTACTTTGCAAATCCCATGAGCCCAAATTTTATTCACAACAGAAAATGTTAAATATTTAACGTGAGAAGGTGTACAATTTCAAGAGAAATATGAGCTCATTTTGAATTTGATGGCAACAGCACATTCTATAAAAGTTGTCTTGAGTCATGTTTACTACTGTGTAGCATCCCCACTACTTTGAATAGCAGTCTGTAATAATATCTTGGACCTAAGGAGCACAGCTGCTGGAGTTTAGGGAGAGGAAAATTGTCCCGTTCTTATCTAATATATGGTTCTAGCAGCTCTACAGTCCTGGATCGTCAAATGTTTTCAGCTAGTGAAAGATCTGGACTGCAGGAAGGTCAATTCAATATCTAAATTCAGACCTCCGGTAGACCATGCACACGCATTAATGATGAAGGTCCAGCTATCTGAATACATCTTTTACCTAAACGTTTCAAGTTTGTACCACATTTAGTGAAAACTTTCATCTAAAAACAATATTTAGAATCAATATTTTGCTAATGCATTAGCCAAACATGTCTACACTTACCATCCTCATTCTGTGCAATAAGCTTTCCCACATGTGGATGGGTTTCCTGTATTAACAGATTAAGGCTACGTTCACACTGCAGGTCTTAATGCTCAATTCCGATTTTTTGATCAAATCCGATTTTTTTTGTCTGCTCGTTCACACTACAAATAAAATGCGACAGCAAACGCGCTGTAGTGTGAACGCTCAAAGCGGCCCGCATGCGCAAAAGAAGACGTCAACGCGCTCTGTTTAGACCCAGAGCAAACTATATTGTTTGACTGATGGCCTTAATATAAAGACTTCGGACTTCACGTTTCCCAATTTTTGCTTTAAGTTATTTTGTTATTTACATAATAATGTAGATAACCTAATAATTATCCTTATTGCTGTTTTAGAGGAGCGGTGCTTCAAAGGATAGTTGCCGATTTCTGTCAGAATCTGCAGATTATACAGTACAAATAAAATGTTTACGTTTCTCCAACGTTGTCTTCCCAGCTGTTTCACCGGATGGTCAGGAAGCGTTCGCGATGTCTACTCCAGCGCTTCTCCGGCGCTGATAATTGGCGTCTGTCTTGTGGCAGTGACATAAAAGACGGATTTAATGCGACTTGACCGTTCACACAGCAGTCGCTTTCTGAAACATCGGATATGTATCACATTCAGTACCACATACGAAAGTGACCCAGATCGGATTTGAAAATATTGGATTTGTGCCGTTCACACTGTCATAGCATGATCGGATATGGGTCACATAGGGTCAAAAAAATCGGATTTGATGCGCTTTCGCCTGCAGTGTGAACGTAGCCTAAGTGTAGAATTAAACATACAGATTGTAATATGAACTAAATGGATCTTATGATCATTTATTGCTGTATTTAATTAATTTCTTCTCACATATCAGCTTATTTAGCAAACTAGCTACATCTGCCAGCAGTTTCCAGCAGGAAACAAGAAGTTTGCCATTTTTCACCACTGTTTGACATCAAAGACCCATTTTTCTCCTAAATGATGTTTTCAGGTTTGAATTCTTCCTAATCATCACTATAAACCGCACGTGTGCACTAATGATTGGTTGTGCCACACCTCCCCTATAAGCAGTTCAGCAAACCTGTATACTGTAAGCAAAAATGCATCTCCCACAATGATCCAGTCAGTAAGATATCCTGTAACGCTGCTTTGAATCGGTGGAAATAGTGAGATTTAGTAGTTCCCAACATTATGACAGAATCTAAGAAGTAATGTGAGAGATTTCACAGAGAAACAAGCGGATTTGTAAATACTAACTGCCCCAGGCGTCATGGAAGGCTGAATAATGCGTGTGTGCGTCTGTGTGTGTTTTCGTGCCCATGTGTGTGTGTGTGTGGGGGTGTATCAAAGGGTGTCTGCTGAGACATAAGAGAAAATGGGATGAGCTCTGTGTATGCGTACATGTGTGTTTTTTGACAAACAAGCATTGTTGCTGGCACACTAATTACAGCTGGCGTGGACTAAGGCAGGGAGAGTTTGCCAATTACAGGGCAGACGTGTGTGTGTGTGTTTTGTAAGTGAGGGAGAGTGTTTCTCAACTGGGGAAAGCGTTTGGGTGCATGAACCTAATCAAGGTGTGAGTAGGAGGCAATTGGCCCGGCTTGATTTGATACCTGTTTGATTTATTCACTAATCAGAACCAATCAAGCTCCAGCTATGGCTCAGCGGGGCGATCACAGCTCACCTTCTCTGCTCTGAGACGCTCAGTTTTCAACTACTTCAAACTTAATACACTTTTCCTGGGTTTCCAACACTGGATACTTTTGTTATAAACCATTCATGGTGATTTGCAGCAATTTTAGAAGATTTAAGGAGATTTTAATCCAGTTATGCGCACTGAGGAGGTTTCATTGTTAAAATACCAAAACGTTGGAAATAAAATAAGTTGATTGGTGCCTGTAATTACCACTTTAATGCAGAGAAATAATAATGTTATTTTTTCATTTTTGTGTGCATACAAACACATAATTGTTAAAGCCAGCATCAAATGTAGAGGCTGTTAAAGTTAAATGTTTTATTCGGTGTTGTGCAGACCAGTTTTTGTCATCTGAAATGTATTATTATATACAAGCTCCCAGTCAAACGCTGAGCAGCGCAACACAAAAGACTTGGTAGTTCAAAATTACAGCGTAGGAGTATTTCAGTGGGACTTGAAAGATGTTTAACAGAATCACTCACAGTGAACGTTGGAAAAACTAAGTGGAGCTCTATGATAATGACTAAAAGAGCTACTTGGAGTCCAGTGTTCCGGTTAACCAGATGAGATTGGACCTGCAGAGGTGCCCAGCTTTTTAAATAAAAACATGCAAAGTCTGGTTGCTGACATTGTCTGCGATTCCTGAGACCGATTGGCTGGAGCTCAGAAGAAGGTTGAAAAACCTGAATGT